TAAGTTTTAATGGAGTTAGATATTGCACCGAGATGCGCGTAGAAGTGAAGTTTACCGCGAAGGAAGATAAAATGCACGATGGGACTAGATTTCTCCGAGTAAAAGTTACCGTGAGGGAAAAATATCAAGAGCACAAACGTGTCACACATACTCGAAAAGAAAGCGGGTTGTAAAGAAGTATAAAGAAATATATTTATTGCTAATGATTCGTGTCACAATTGGATGGATGTATATATCCCCAACATTTAATCTCACATCCAAGTTGCATACGTGCTTCACAAAACATGCGTTTGACAGCACGTGTGTAATGTTTCTGACAGACGAAAGTTCGATCAGAGCGGCACGATGTGTACGGCAGATTGTTGGCAAGCGCAGTTGGGAAACACACGAAACGCGTTCCGTAAGAACAAAGTAGTTTCACTGCCAAAGTAGCTTTAATCAAATCGCACGCAGCATAAAGAATTTAAAGTTCCATGAATGAACGGCGACTCTTTATGACTCGTGCAGCTCGTGTGTGTATGTGTGTGTGCGTGCATGTGCGTAATACGCGACGCGTTAGAGCCTATAATTTCATCTCGATCGCGAGCCGACTTGGACGCATCTGGATTTCGAGAGTATTACGTATACGCGTTTCGATGCAATCACAGATACCGGATTGTATACATGTACATGTCACGTATTAATCGCGCCGATAACGTGAAAAATTAAAAAGCGCCCGGACCAGCTGCAGCGCGATAAAGACATCCCGTATCGTTGACTCCAATTACGACGACTCGCGGCGTGAACGCGCGCGTAGACCTCTCGCGATAAACTTACACGACAGATCCTGCATGTCTGGCGGGAGGAAGTTCTGAAATTAGAACGGGCACATAGAACTTTAATCAGCCCTCCGACGTTCGTGAAATCCGACCGAGGCCCCGGCCGGTTAAATACCATTCAAATATTCCGCCGGAGCCCCCCTCCCCCATTCTCATCATAACAGCGATTTTATCGGCGCGATACCCGGCGGTAGTAATATAAATATGTATACGCATTGTTTGCATAGTGCAACGCAACGCACAGGCTGACGATCTTCGCGTATCGTTATAAAAATAATAATAAAAAAAAAAGGTAAAATTGCGGAGGCGCAAAAAGTAGACTTATATACGACGATACGCAAAATCCCGGCGAGCTAAATTTTAAACGAAGCGTCGAAATACATATCTGGTTCAACTAGAAATATCGCTTTTGCCAGTATTAAACTTTGGCGTATTCCAACCAATATTTGCGGAGGTTTTGCTTTTTCACTATCTACATGCGAAGTAAAAAATTTCTTTTTTGTTATATACCGTCGTGTGTAAAATACTCGGCGCGATAGTCGTGTTATTCCGAATGAAAGATTTTATTTAACAATCGTCATTCGCTACGACACTCAAAATTGATCGATAATCATGGTGACATTTTTCATAATTCATTTTTCTTAAAACTATTTGCATTTTTAATGGCTCTTGATTGTCGCAGAGAATGATTTTACATAATTTTAATATTAAAATTCCTTCGTATTTATGTCTGTAATTATATCACCCGAATCAGTCTATCAGAAATAGCGAGATCGAATATCCTGAAAGAGCGGATGCTTGAAAATGAAGCGGAATGGTTTCTGATCTCCCTACTTCAGTTGTCACTGCGCAAGTATCAATATTTTGATACGTTTCATCCTCATTACCGCGAAGTCCTCCTGTCGTTATCAAATTCACGTACCTATATCATAAACATTTATGCACACTGTTTGCATTGTAAACGTACTGACGTTTACCTTCCTCCGGGAAAGCGTCACACACCACAAGGACGTAGTTGAACTTGAACGCTATGTGATGATTAAGGACACCGTTATTACAGTAACGTTAATCCTCTTAAACAAGGTACTGATGAGGCCAAATTTAATGCAAATTGAAGGGCGTTATTTTTTTTTATATTTGGCGAATATCGCGGAAAATAATATGGTAAATGAACAATTATTGGCTTGCAAATCTCAATCTCCGATCCATTTTTTCAAATCGCGAAATGATATGGTCAATGACACAGTAAACACGTGTCAACGTGCCAATTAAAATATGCTGCCGCACATTTATATTATCGTACTCCTGTTTTGCAAATAAAAATAAATGTTCAATGAATATATGTTCTTAATCAAATCAATATAACATATATTGTTCTGATTACAACGAGAAATATTGAACGTTGATATCTGTTAACCATATATATGATATACCTCGAAGAAGTACATATTTTTGCCGATATACTTATACTTCCTGAAGTTGCGCCTCAACTCGCACCGAATGCGACATCGCATTTGTGCTCGATATAGCCGCGTCTAACAAATTAAAATCTCACTCGTTTTAAAACCAATCCGCCATATCAGTTTTATGAAACGACGGCGGCGCATCTCGAAGCGAAAAATTATTAGTAACGGCCGTTAAACTGCGCGCGATGTTCATAAATCGACGCGGTTTATCGTAAGGGCGCTATATAAGTACACACTTTGTTCGCTCGGCAGTATCTAGCTCGTAACGGCGCCTTAATGAAGTCGTAAAAGAGCGGCGAAGTATGCAGACGGCCCCTCTCGAGCGCGGTTTTATAGTTTCGATCGGATCGTCGATCGCCGGAAGTGCATTATTTTGCCTTGCATTAATACCGAGGATAACTGAGCACCTATAGATTTTATTGAGTATCAGCCGCGTTATACGAATGTGCGGAGTAATCGTTGAATACAAATATATATATATATATATATATATATATATATATATATATATACCTACATATGTATATGTATAATGCACACAAACATATATATGCGATGTTAGAGCTTTTACATTAACCATAATCCATTAACCCATTTTTCCCAGTGATGATGTATTTTGCTTTCTCTTTGCTTTCTCGAAGTGAAACATCCCGTAAATAGTAGATTAAAACGTAAAAGTGGATTAAAACGAAGTAATATAACAAGGGGTTGTGTAAAAAATAAGAAATTTCTATCAAAATATGTAAAAATCTAAAATTAGCACATCAAAGAAGTTTACACGCAATCTTGGCGTCCGAAATCAAACGGTCTCCTTTTAGAACATGTCAGTTTTATCAACTGTTCACTTTCTCTTTCAAACATTGCGTGATGATAAAGCGCGGCATGGTATGCATTCCGTTGAATAGCGTGCCAATTAATATCAACCGGTTTCGTTTTCAAACGCAAACGCACGAATTGACGAAAGATTTTAAATTAAAGTAGGTAGAATTCGTGGAACGTCGCGACTCTTCGATTCTATGTAGAGATCCATGAATAGACTCGATATACTTGCGCCGAGCAATCGCATACCATAGCTCCAGTTTGTACAACCATGCCATTCAACCATGCGCCGTGCAAAGAGAGGCGTTGATGAATTTCCTTCCCTCTACCAATATATACATATGAATTTGGTATAATCCGCCGCAATGTAAATGCAAAATTCGCCGCGATCGCGAATATCCAACCGGTAGGGCCTCTCTTAAGCTTCGGCGTTATCGTTGTGGTGGTTTCACTAATCGTATTCACTTTAATCTAAACTCTTTAATCTAAAATCTACCTAAAAACAGATTGTATTTTATTCACGTCCGGAATCGATATTAATAAAAGGCGGAATTAATCATTAATTTTAAGCTCCATTTTTAAAATAATCAATTACTCATTTTAAGCTAAAGATTTATCGGATTTTTCTATAGAAAAATCTCCTTAAAATCTCTATTATATATTTTTAATTAATTTATTATATAATTAATTAATATATTACATATTTTTAAATAAACGTTTCTCTTGGTATGCAAAATCGATCTACGTAAAAGAAAGAAAACAAATCATTATGCTAGAAATGCACTTATATGTATGCTTTTTAATTAACAACAATAACCAGAATGTGTTCGACAAGTCGAAGATTGTTAGAATTAAATGCGCATGCATTTCATCACCGCCAACTCAGACAGATGTTGTATAGCAATATACTCGAATGCGAAGGCGCGCGCGGACATTGATGAGAATTAACTTCTCGGAGCTCTTGAGCGAGGGGACTGCGCGATTTCCACGATCGAAGCGAGGGGAGAGCCCCTGACGAGTCTTTATTCTCCCACTGCACTTGCATCGTATTAGCGCGAGTTCGAGATTGCGTCGCGCCCGCTTTGCGTTTCTCGCCGCTTTTCGCCGATCGAAAGAAATAAGTCTCGCGCGTGAATCAATAGCGGAAGTGTGTCGAATCGATCGACGGGCGATCGAAATAGCACGAGAAACGCAGGCGGGCGCGACACTATTTCGGAATCGCGCTAATATAACGCAATTACAGTCTACAGTATATATATGAAAATTTGGGAAGAGCGGGCGAACGGAGCAAGAAATAATCAAAAATAGTGATCGACCGTCTCAAAAAGTACGGCACTCCGTAACGTTCATTTATACGCCAAGTTTATGTCGACAAATAAAAAGAAGCGACTCACCGGTCGTTGAATCAGCGTAGCTGTCCGCCATATGCAATGCCCGAGTAGGTAGATCGCTGCCTGCTGCCTTCGAACGTCGCAAGACGCCAAGACGCCGTCAATCGGGATTGCCCGGACCATCGGGGCACTCGAGACGATCGCCCGTCGCTCGATTCGGCACTTCCGACCCTCGTTCGCACGCGAGATTCACATCCGGCGGATAAAAAGACGCGAGAACCGCGAGAAGTGCGTGACGGCCGCAATTCGTCGCGTCGGACCCGCTCGCTACGCGTCGGCATGAATATAGCCGTTAATTATCGAAAGGAGAGGGAAGGGGAGGGGAGGTGCGTTCGTGAAAGCGAGCGGCGCCGGCTTCATTGAATACATAAGAAAGAATAAACTCGCAAGTTTTCTCGAAAAATAACTTCTATTTGCACGCGGCTGTATCGAAATAACGCTTTAATGTCCTATTCAAGACGGATTAACTCATTTTTTTTGCATATAACGTTAAAACCCTCCGCGTTACAATCATGCGAGAGCGGCATAAAGTATCGGCTGAAATTAACCGACGAATCACGCAAGTTTCGCGTTCCTGTTCGTCGCGATCGTCGCCGCGCCGAAAAAAATTGTTTCCATTTATCTATTATTTCGTAGGGAGAAATTGAAACGGAGCAAAAAGCGTCGCTCGGTAAACTGCTGTTTACGTCGCCGGGGCTGTTTACGTTTTTTAGGCTCTCTCGGCTTTCCAATTCCTGGAAGACGCTCGACGCGCGGCCTACGCGTTCTCCCACTCCCCCACTCCCACCCTCCACCCAACTCTTTCCAAACTTTTCCTACTGCCGGCCGTAAGAGTCGCGGTCAGTATTGGTGCGAATTCGGGGCTGTGTTCAGGCCGCTCCGCGTTTCTCGCGTTCTCTAACCGTCGATCGTGAATCTTCCGGCCATATTGCGCACCGAAAGTATAGGCAGGAGCCATTGCAATTAAAGAAGGACGATTGTGAATCTTGCTCCGCGAACGAGTGTCGGGAGTGCCGAAATCGAGCGACGGTCGGTCGTCTTGTCGCGTATGTAAGTCCGTATCGCGTCTCGCGAGTGGCGTTGAATCGACAAGTTTTGGTCTCGTTTGACGCAAGCGAAGTGCCGAATCCGCGTCTCTGTGCTCGCCGAGAGTGAATCTCGCGTCGGAGTAACGTATCTATACCGTCGTTGCGTACTTATATCGGGCTTCGCGAAAATCTCCGTTTCACACGCTAGGTGAATCCGGGAGTCGCGAAGATCGTTCTCTCGATAGGCACCGGGTTCGTCTCGAGACAATACGTACATACTTTTTCCGCTCTTCCGTATACACGATCGGCGTGTCTCTCGACGCGACATTCGCGAGTGACGTCGAATTAATTGACCTGTCGCACAATACGGCGGATTTAAAAAGTTTTCGTCTCATTTAACGCCAGCGAAGTGCCGAACCCGAACGCTCTGTGCTCGCCGAGAGTGAATCTCGGCGTCGGAGTAACGCCGCGTCTACCGTCATGGCGTACAGTGAATTTCGAAAGTTTCCGTATCACACGCAGGTGAGTCGTTTGCGTCGCGGAGCGTACCTCCTCTTCCGCCCCCGTCGCAAATTTTCCGTCAACCACAATCGCATCGCGTTTAATGATATCGAAAATAAGGCCGCGACTTTGTCGGACGCGTCCGTATATGCGCCGCGTATATAATTCGCGCCCATGTAAATGCCGCGCAGTTTGCCGCGGACAATCGCGTAACGAAGTAGCTCCCAACGCCGTGCCACCCGGAGAACCGGAGCTACCGCGGCCGTGTGATAACGCCCCCGACCGACCGTTTCCGACGCGGCCAGGGCCAGGGCTTCCGTAGACGCGAGAATTCGCAACCGAAAAGTCCGGCCCGATGTATGCACGGCGCACACCGCCCCGGCCTCGAACATCGCACGAACTTCAATTAGCGACCAGTGGCAATTAGCAGAGCACACGAGGCTCCCCGCACGCCGCGCCGAAAATTCTCCCGTGCGACGTGGGAGATGCAGGCGATGCAGCTGTAAGCTGCAAGGCAACCTATGCAAATTAATAGTTTGGTCTTTTCCTGTTGTCTTTTTATTCCCGGACCCTCTCGCTCTTTTTTTCTCTCTCTCTCCATCTTTCTTTCTCTTTCTCTTGAGGGTTGCTCGTTTTTGCGCTAGATCGTGAACTTTTTTTCGTCGCCGTCGTCCAAATGATTGCATCCCCGAAGTATAGAAAGAAGGGAGAAGCGAAAGCGCTTCTCTTGTTCTCGTACTAATATTGTATGTCAAGGCAAGAGCAAACGCGTGTCGTCGCTGTAGAGAGCTTAATTCTTTTACGGGAGCTTCTTCGAAAGTTTAGTTGGCGCGCGAGACGGACGGCTGTACGGTATATGCGGAACGCAAAGTCTAATATAAAAACACATTGACTTTATTACATTATTATAAGAGAATTAGTTACGACGCGTTGTCCGCCGTGTGTAACATAAAAGAATTTTTCGTTTCTGTAGAATCTTTCAGGCAACCGTGTCGAGCTCATCATCGACAAAAATTGCGCGCAAACGATCATTTATGTCGTCGCGGGAGTGATCACACCCGGAACAAATTTCAATTAGCACCCGATAGCAATTAACAACGTGTACACAGTGCTCGTTTGACGGCTCTCACACAAGTCATTCTCGCGAAAAGCATTTCAAATTAATAAGTTCTCCATCCCTCCGTTACTCTCCGCCATACGCGTACCATTCATTCGATCGTCTGCGCTTCTCCCCGTTGACGATAAATAACAGTGAATGTGCCACGTCCATATTCGATATTAGTTTCGTTGATAGCGTGGCTAAACGCGCAGAAATCGGATGGATCGATCCGACCGCGGCTCGATATTCCGATTTCCGATATTCGTGAATAAGACCGCCGGCGCGGCGCGGCGCGGCGCGGCCAGGGAAGATACTCTCGGGGGGCGCTTATCACGCAGACTCTCTCTCTCTCGAACAACAGATGTATCCGGAGTAAGTACCTGTCGACGCGATGGGCGTCACGACGACTGGCGCGTACAATGACAATCTCGTACGACAACACAGCGACGTCCCTTAATCCACGCTGACGGAAATGCACACATTCGAGGCGGCGGCGCCGTAAACCGAAAGCGTAAACCGCGCCACGACAGCCCCCGTCCGATGAGCGTTCCCGTCCTCGAGTGTCGAGACAAATTCTCGTCTTCGACTCATTAAATATCATCCTGTTTCTGGGGGCGGAAGGAGGAGTCGAGGGGGATCGACGGGGGTTCACGGGGGATATACGATGAAACGCGCGGTAGTCCGACCACGTGATCGTGCCGACCAAATGGGATAATCGTCGACGCAGGGGAAACAGAGTGATGGCACGTCGAGGTACGATTCGTCTCGGCGTGCATGTGCGCGTGTGACTTACAAAGTGCCCAAGTGCGAGGGAGAGGTCAAGGATCGTATCCCAGCGTGAATCACCGTGACTTGGCCACTTGGCTCTCGGCTCGGACTCGACAACACAAACAAACTTCACGTTGCGGCTTGTATGCGAAGGTGAGTCGACATTTATTAATTTTCGATACATCCATCAGAACGCGCGTTTTCATACAGAATGTGATTCTGCCGTTTTCTCGTTTTGTGAGAGAGAAATCTCCACTCTTCGCTTCTTGAGAGGCTTGATTTCTTGATCAAGCAGCTTGTTAGATATTTAAAGATTTTTAATGAAGCAATTTAAAGCTTGTTGAAATTTAAATGTCTGAATCCGAGAAAAACAAGGCAGTTGCGCGAGAAAGGAAGTGCAATAAAATGAGATACCAGTCTGAAAGAAACTGAGAATTTAATTTTATTAGAATATATATTGCATCTTGCGAAGTTTGCATTAGAGGATTGTGCGTAAACTCTGTGTACTTGCTGCAGTAATCTACTTACATAAGAAACTACGCAGCTGCCTCACGCGCAAGTTAGAGCTTTAGCCAGCCTTCAAGTTGCCACGCGCAAAGTTGATGACATTTTTACTATACACGACTTGCGAAACTTTATAACGCATACACATTGTGCGTGTGAAACACGGTTAGATTGTAAACGGTAAAACAGAGGAACGGATTGAGAAAAATTTCTTGTACGCTGTACCGCGACGTATTATTTATTTTATTTTCTCGTATTTATCGATTATCTCACACAATTTCATTTTACAGTAAGAAGAGTGCAGAAGCGTACAAGAAAATTTTAATTAAAATATTTTTGTCCAAGGTAAAGTTTACGCTACAGTTTCTGTCCAACTTTTTTTTATCAATCTCCACGTGATCTTATAAGCATCGCGTAGCGTAAAAATCGGATGAGTGGTAAGATGCGTCGTAACTTTGATAATCTGTCCTACAGCGGTTTTTGACGAGAATCACTTAAAACTTTTGGATCTCGCGGACAAGAACTCGAAGAATTTTTATGAATATCGTTATAATCTCGCGAAACGACTCCTACACATTTTCTACATTCTAAACGACGTATATTTAGGAAAGTATTAATAAATAGCTACGGAAAGAATTCTATATATTAAAATTAAAAAAATATTATAGATATTAATTCTAATAATATATTAAACTATAACGGATACGCATCTCATATAGCAATTTGCATTTCTCATTACTTGACTTTTGTACGTAACAGCGAGAGAGTTCGCACTTAAAATTATATTTGAATATACTTGAATTTTTATTAAGATGTCAGCTCTCCGCGCGTTAACGCAATCTCCCCCGAGACCCCGAGACTCCTTTTACGCAATGAGAATCTCCATGGCATCAATTTAAAAAAAAAAATTTTTTTACGGATTTCACAATGTGATATACGAACTATTACGAACCAATATAAAACATTTTTATCCTTCAATCTCACAATTGATTTTATCGAGGATTTTACATGTTCACAATATGTTCGCGCACGAGTGTTGCACGACTATCCAATCGATTTTTTGATACTCTCTTCTTCGAAAAGATAGCAATATGCTTTCGCCGAGTTGGTTCGCGTTTAATCCATATTTTCTGGAAAATACGTTTCCGCAGACTTACAATCGTTCATCCGTCACCGCTAAAAGCTGTTACGCGTCACATGCGTTGGAAGTACCGTATCTCTCGTGCATTAAAACTGTATCGGCAAATAAATGTGAACTCACAAAAAATGACCGAGCACCGCATTGGTGACATGAAAAATATGATGCAAAAATCCTGATATATGTTTTTCTAGAAAAAAAAATCCCCGCACTTTAATTATGCGGACTCGACGTCCAAAAATAATATCGCCCTGTAAATGTCAGACATGAGATAAATCATGATATTATAAAGCGACGACAATCATTCATATTTTAGTCGTTGTTATTTAATCCTTGTTCAGCAGTGAAACTGTGGCGCTTGCAGCACGATGCAATTTTAGTGCAATTAAAATCTTGCAAAGGATTTTTACGATACGCACGTAAATATGATATTATCCCGCGTATAATCTGTGACTTTAATTAATGCAACAACTCAGAGCGTAATTACTTTGGAATGATATTTTTGGTATATTCATATACACAAGCACAATCTCAGTATATCGCATACATATCGCTTTAATATCACAAATTTGCGCACCAGTTGCTTCTCTAGCAAGTTTACTGCAAAAACAATTACGTATTTCGGAATAAATTTGAAAAACTATTCTATACATCTATAATACATTTAATAATGTTTTCTTATATTAAACCAAACTTATTTTTTAAAAGCCTTTATGGCGAACTGTCGAAAGCTGTCTTCTTCAGCGATTTAACTGTTTGAAAATATAGACAAAGTCGCCAGAGAGAATTTCAGAATTTACGAAAACTTCGATGTCTAAATAAATATTAAAAGTTGCAACATTTTTTAATAGTTTCTCATATTCGTCTACGTATATTCGTCTCCTTCCGGTATATAATTAATTCTGAAGGGCAAAACTCTTCAGACAACAAGTGTAATATTACAGTTTCGGAATGTACAGAATGTCTGCTTTGCGGTATTCGCGCGGCCTACCCGACACGAGAGCTGCGATCTGACGAGCAAATCCCAGCCGCAAAATTCGACTTGCACTTTCACAAGGGCGGATCTACTGGTTGGACCGTAATATTTGTGGTGACCGTAGAATGCCTCAACAACCCTTTAAAGTACCGTTCTCTCTATATATCTCTCTCACTCTCTGTCGACGATTGTCGACGCATGGTTGTTCATTACTTTTCGAGATCGCTCTCGTCCGATCTATATGTCTCTCTTCAACAATTCTCGCGAGCAGTTCTCCACGCCAAAGAATGTCATTAAAGCAATACTGGGAGCTCGCTGCTGAATACCGCAGCTCAGATTGTTACGAAATTGCGTGGAAGTGATTTTCTCGAAACTGTACTGCTGAAGATAATGAGAACGACTCTGTTCATTTGTTAAGCGGAACAACCAACGAGATTATTAGAATTCTGTGCGACGTAATAGCGACGAAGCGACAATGCCCCTCTCTGAGTGTGCTCCTTCTCGACTCCTTCTCAAATTTTCTGGAGCAATACCTTATTCGTGAAACATATAACGATGAAATATTATATTTTATGTTTTATGTCAATAAAATATTTCCATGTTTTATACTTTGATCATTACATATATTTTAAATGTATGATTTATATATTTCTGTAGTATAATTTATATTATATTAATTAATTTATTATTTATCGCTTATAAGAGAAAGCAGACTTCTAATAAAAGAGTTTGAGTGAAAAACAATTTAGGAATACTTCCAATAAATAGAGCCAGAATGATGATATCTGTCGGTCTGTTCTTGACACTTGCAAGGCAAATTAATTCGCGACAGCTGACTCGGTTGTCAGTTCGATTAAGTGTTGGGTGGAGCTGAGTGGTTATGTAACAAATTAGATCTGACTATGCCGACTAGTTTATAGGCTGCGTATTTACTTGAGGCTATATAATGCACGTGAGATCTAAGCCACAGGCTATTATTGCTATATCGACATTCAATATTGCAAATCTCATTTTGATGCTGCGGCTGTACATATAACGTACGGAACATAACTTCAATTGGGATTATGTACTTGGAAAATAATTTAGTTGCAATAACTCGTTTCTTCACTTCTCTAGTAGAAAAATTTCGTAAGCTTTTAATAACTTGAAGAGTAGCTAAAAGAAAAAGAAGGTATAAAATCTTCTAATTTTCTAAAACTTTTGTGAAAAATAAAATATGGCAATTATAATACGTGTATCAGTAGAAGAAAGATCAATACCTGAATTATCTGTTTGCAAAAGATGAGAGAGAGCTTCTGCATTAATTAAATTTATATGACATTCTATATTTCACATTTATCGTACACATTACATTACATCTCATTTTACTTATAATTTACTTATTTTAAATAATCGTTAAAGCCATTTTCCACACAATTATCATACTATTTAAATCAATTCTGTTCTTCTTTGATGTTGTTCAACTTGATGATGAAATATGTCATTGGTTCATTATATGTTTACGTTGATCCGGTTAATGATAGCCGATGGATATATCTGTATTTGTGTGAAATATGATTATTCGACAGCTTTGTCAAATTATTTCGAAATACACTCAAAAGTACAAGGATAAAATAACATCCTTAATTTCAAGAAGTTTCAATAAAATATTTTTTATGTACCTATTATAATTTATAATATGTACCTATTATGATTTGAAAAATCGTGACGTGTATTTAAAACTCGATTTAAAAGTATCTTTCTAGACATTGATAGCCATCCACAATTACTTCTTCCGTATCTTAAATCTGTAATTGATATTACGTGTAAATTATATTAAATATGAGTAATGGCCGAAAACAGAAAATAAAAATCCATAACTTGATGTTTGATGCGAATCAAAAGAGCTTTTTCACATTTTGTAGTCAATTCAAGATTTAAGAACCTAGGGCTTTAACGATTTCGCGTCCATCATCGTCAGACAAAGTATTTACTTCACACTAGCGAGCTTGCGAGGGATAAAGGAAGGAAGGAAGTGCCGAAGGAAGGAAGAAAGCTGGGGAGAACGTCATGAGAAAAGGGCGATCCATCAAAATCAAAAGAGCGCCACCGCAAGCGCCAAGGGTCGTTTACTTTCTCTGCTCCTCGGCGGATACTTCGTTATTTTTCGAGTCGCCTCTTATCTTTTTTCCCTTTGTCCTCGCCGTTTGTGTCATTATCCCCACACCTATATATGACACTGGCGAAGTGGCCAGATAAATGATATAACAAGTAACTATACATATACAAAGGATAGTCTTGATTTACTCGGGTGGGTTGAGTGGAATATCTCAGGTCTGAATATATACATTATTAAAAATATGGCATTTTATAAACGACATGAGAAAATCATTAATCAATAGTCAATCAAAGTAAATCAATCAAATATCACTTGGATGACAAATTAATATGCTAATTAATGTCGTGTTCCAATAACGACCGTACGTTAACTCTCTCTAAAAGCTCAATATATCAAGGTTATCGACCTGTTTACTTCTTATCACAAAGTTTTCCGAC